CAAGACATAAGTACTTTCTTTGGTTCGTTCCGCAACCCCCCTTGCTGGCAGGTGATGGGGAACAATGGTGGTTTTAGAGATCTTGTACAAGGTACAAAAATTTTCAAAAAAATTTTCTTACAGAATTTTCCCTCCATTGTCTTTCTGGGGACTTGGGGGGTACCCCTCAGATAATGCTTTCTTTAAACGTTTTGGCTACTGCTGGGCAGTTTTATCTGCAATAGGAACAAACTCGCAATTCTGGTGAAAAGGTCTCCCAAAACACACTGTTTGTTGCCTTGGGGGGGAACATCGAAATTAGTTAACAAATCTGCGAAAATCTTTCCCAAGTTCGTAGTAGTTGGATACATTTGGATTGGATTAGGCCCTTACATTGCTTTATGTTGCATGCAGACACTACATTTCTTAACATACTCAAATACATTTTCCATACGGCCAAAAGTATTTCAATCTGGTTTGTTTTATGAACGACCCATACCAGGGTGTCAACACCGGTACAGGGAAACTACTGTAAGGCACATTCACTAGTGACTGTGGAATTACTAAGGGGAAACTCTTCTGTGGGATACCCAACTGGGCTTTTTCGATACAGTTTTTCTTGGTTCATGACAAAGTCACTGATGGGTCTGGTGGCTTCACATTCAAATAAGATTTTCCCCTGGAGCGGGAATCGAATCACACAGACCACAGGGGATTTTTCGTTTGGCATTCTTAATTTTCAGCACTAAATGGAGGGTTTTTGCGTTACTATACTAACATGTCCGATAAGGCATCGCGACTACATTTGACTTCCCCGGGGTAAATCTCAAAGGTGGGATTGAACTCTTGGATAGTCAGGTCCCTAGCAAACCTTCCAGAGGTTTTTGTTGGGGGAATAAGGGTATCAGGGAGCATGATCTGTCGACATGACAGGTACTGATAAATAATGTCCGAAGTGCTTTAAAGACCATACATTGCTAAAGCTTCTGCTCAGTTACTGTATAATTACTTTCACCTTGTAAGGATTTTGGGCTACAAATGCAACTGCGTTGTACTTGCCACGGTCTTCTGAGTAGTAGGGCACCTATCCCAATTGAACTAGCATCAGTTGTCAATAAAAAGGCTTAGAAAATCGGAAAAATTTCAAAAAATTGGAGCAAAGTTAGCTTTTTTTTAGGTTTTGGGAAAGCCTTTCTTTACGGAAGGTCCCAAAAAAAAGGGGCATCTTTCTTAAGCAACTCAGTTAGGGAGCAGCTATGGAAGAAAAAAAATTGGCATGAAAGATCTTAAAAACCTGCTAACCCCCCCAAAAGGACTTAAAGGGATCAGCAGTTTTGGGAGTTGGAAAATTTATACTCGTTATTTACCTTTGGTCATCGTAACCCCTCTAGGGGTGACTACGTGACAAGAAACTTAATTTCTATCTGAAAAATTGACATTTTGACAGTTTGATCTTTAAATTGGTCTTCAAGCTTACCCAATTTTCTACATCAAGTCTTTTTTAAATGTGTTCCACGTCTTTAGACATACGATTACGTCATTAAGTACACCATAAAAGCATTACCTTGAGACCCCCTTAAAGATATTGTCAGAGCCTTTTGGGAAAGTGATAGGGGAAGATCGTAATCCAAAAACCCTACGGGGGGAAATGATAATGACCCGTAGGAGTGGGAATGCAGTTAGCCTGGCTGTCCCCCGTGAAGAGGGACTTGCCAAAAACCCCTTTAACAAATCTGGGTTGAAAAGACTTTTTATCTCCGTTTACTAAAAGATCACCCCGTACAGGGGTGGAAAACGATTGGAAAGGTTTTTGCGTTTAAAATTCCCAAAATCAATTACTGGACCCAAGTACCATCCCTTTTTAGGTACAGTATCAAGGGTGCATTCCAAGTGAATTTCTAGGTGCAATAAAACCCCTCTCAAGCATTTGAAAATTTATAAAACTTTTGCGCAGCAATTGTGAAAGAGGCATTTTGTACGCAGGGATGTAGTAGGGCTAGTACCAGTTCAAGTGGAATAAAAATGGGCAATAATTCGTTAACCCATCTTCTCACCTGGTAAAGCAATGGCTTTACGACGTTTGTTCAACAAGTCAAAAAACGTTGACTTCATCGGGGAAACCGTGGGGGCTAAATCTTTTTTCCCCTACTGGGGAACAGATTGATCCGTGAGTGAAAGAGGTCTCTTGGGAGTTCGATACGTGGATTAGGTAAGAAAAACTCACTAGGCTGTTATTCGTATAATTGCTGTTATGTGGGGGGAGCCCTTGCCCCCCGACCTATCTCCCTTGTTACACCCCTAATATGACTACCGGCTGCAGACCCTTGGAGGGGGCCCCTTTAATACTGCTAGGTCAGCACAATTATGAAAAACCGTGACTCAGGGAAGACGGTTGGTCGGAGTCAAAAGGCGGTTACTGGTAACGGTTACTACTACTGAACTGGTAACGGGTTTCTACACTGAGAACGTGGCCCACGCAATCCGACTACGAAAACCCCACCCGGCTGGTCAGGTACCGACTTTAGGTGCTAGCTTGAAGACAGCCAGGGGTCTATTGGTAGTCCCCCTTATTTATGCTGGGAGGCAGTTGAACAGTCTTGGGCCCCTAACACTTATTGTGTTGTCTCTTTAACGTGCTAGTGGCACCCCTTCTTTTCATTGGGAATATGCTGCATCGTCTGCCGAGTGTTTTGCTTTCGTAAGGAGCGATTTTCGTGTGCAAGTTTGGTAATAATCCCTCTAGGATTCTCCAAGTGTATAAAATCATGTATCTCTCCCGCCTGCGTTCTAGGGAATACAGGTTTAGGAACTTCAAGCGTTCCCAGTAACTGAGTCTCTGAAAAAGGAAGCTGGCCGTTCTGTAATCCTTGGTTTCTGTGGTGAGTTTTTTCACCCAGCTCTTTGAGGAACTTTAGAGCACACTTGTCCCACTCCAAGGGTTTTACCCAGGATAAATTATAGCAAGGGGGCAGGCCTTCATATCTGCGGGTCTTGTGGATCTCCCTGTAGCCGGCGGCTCCACCCCCTTCAGTTTCAGAGTATGGCAAGTAGGTGACTGCCAGTGTGGTGGCACAGATGTAGGCCCAGGCAATCTGCTTACCATCCTTCCAGGGTAGCATAGTGGCTCCATCCTGACGCATTTGACTTCCGTCAGACCTCTGTATATGGGGTTCCCGTTAGCTGTGGCGAGGCTTCTCTTTTAGATGCGTTGACCCCTCATGTCAACATACTTTCCTTTGAGGGTTGACACCGAGCCCTGAAGTGGGAATTGATCAGCCGTCGTCCTGCCGCAAATACACCCAGTTCGGTGAGTATGGGCGGCACACCAGTCCGATGGATTTTTAGGTCGATCTTTATACAGAGCATTTCTGGGGAAATTGGGCAATTTTGGCAGGGCGCCCACCCATTCTACTAACATACAGGTACCTATTTTACAAAAGGTGAACAGGGACAACATGTGTCTTAAGGAAACACGTCCTAATGTTTCCACCCGTACCGGAGATCGAACCAGGGACCTCAATGTGTGAGCTAAGTGCGCTAGCAATCAAGCTACATAACACCGCTCGCACTGTTGACGTTATTTTCCAAGTAGGGCATGACACTACCGCCGCCGCCTGTCTTCCATCCCTTTTTTTTCCCCTTCACTCAGTTAAGATATGACTATGATCAAAGAGGGGCCGAAACATTGTCATAAATTTCTTCTTTATAGAGCGTGTTATTTGTGAATGTCTGATATCTAATTTTCGTTAATGGGATACCTTGAAGTACCACATACAGTATTATACTTTCTGTCTGTATATTTCTCAATAAGTAGACAATAATGCATTTAGTTTGATCGTCTTCTGTACACATGCCAAACTGCAGGAAGTACTTGTAACCAAGGCCTAAACCTGACTACTTCATCAGTCAGTCTGTTTACATTGCAATATGCTCTGGAAATATGCTTATCCACGTTCAAGTTATTATTCTGAGTTGTAGATCCATAGATCTACTCAGTGTTGTAAATGTATTCTTTTGACATAAAGATTATTTACTTCTCTCCTAAGCAGAAGGAAACATTTATTAGAAAGACGTTTCACCTTCATTAAGCTTTATTAAATCTTAACTTGATAAAGCCTCCTTTTGCTGTATGTGTTGTTTTACCTTAAATAATCTTCTTGCGATACAGTTCATGCAGGTTGCAGAATTACATATTACCCGTTACATAATTGCATGTTTTTACAATCCATTTATATTTGTATTGACTTTGTGACATCTAGCAAGATTTATAGTGGCTAGTTTATTTCTCAAAATTTCAATACCAATTACGATATTAAGTTAAATTATCCTATTATGTCATTGGCACATCATTTGCGTCAACACATCCATCTCATGTACACACGTGTCAACAGTCTGTCCACCATTTATAGAGCAAACGCAGTCTGTATATTGATTTAAAAAGGATATATTGAGAAGAGACAGTGGCCGCAACACCTTTCTCTATTATCCTTGTCATTGGTCTATTCCCGAGTCATCTCGTCTTTCTTCCATATATCACCTTTGTCTTTCAGTGCATTTATTGTATTGAAACCTCCATTACCTGTGTGTATGACGGGGGGGGGGGGGAAGGGGATCAATAGCTCCCGTCCCTGATTGCACAGTCGTCAAGTGTTCAGTAGTCACTCTTAACATTTCTTGCAGAGGTCAAGATGTAGTTGGTTGACATGATATCTCGGTCTTATGTTTTGAAACCATTTAATAATGTGAACATTACCGTGTAGTAACCCTTCAGGGAAGGTTCCTTGATGCTGGTGAGGGGCTCTTGATCTAGAGAATTGGATCTGTGCTTCAGTTCCCTGAATTGAGTCTGAATACCTTCCATCCCCCTCCCCCCGTATAATCCCACGAGTTTAGCGTTCCCCTTGACTATAATAATACCGTGTAGTAATATTTGTCATATCTACTACTGATCTTCATTGAATTACTTCATTAATTTTAATGAATAGTAATGTGGGGTGTACTGACGGAGGTTTATGTTACAGGAGTTCGGCTACTGCGCTCTGTGGACCTTCTTCTACCTGACGGCGGCCTCAGCATGTGCCTCTTGGGGTGGTGTGGACGCTGCTGCCGCCGCCGCCGCCTTTTTCGGCTATGTGGCTATGATTCTCTATGGCATCGACGCCTTCTTCAAGTTCAAAGCCTGGAGGAACGGTGACCTGGCCCAGGGCGAGCGTCAAGTGCAAGTTGCAGACCCTGGAATGCCTTCCCCAGGGGCGTACTAGTGCCCAGCTGCATTCTGCAGTCATTCTGCCTGGGGGGGAGAGTGTTGCTCTCAAGGGAGATAATACTCCTAAAAAGAGTATGTGTTTCTGCTACTGGGATTATACTGACGCCCCAGGGGGTAGTGTTGCTAAACCTGAGGGTAGGTTAGTGTTCCGAGGGAGGAGTCTGCTACCCTGGAGGTAGTGTTGCTTTCCCTGGGAAATTGTTGCTAACCCAGGACGTGACTTGTTGTCCCCAGGATAGTGTTACAACAATGGGGAAGTTTTTTTTGTCTGGGGCAATGTTGCTGCCCCAGGATAGTCAGAGTATTTTGTGTGACCACAGAAGCCGTTGATGTGTGGTGTTTAGTAGTGTGTGACTGACACTGATGGTGGGATTATAGTAGGTAAAGAGGAGACGTGTCTAGCAGTGTGTGACTGTCACTGATGGTGGGATTATAGTAGGTAAAGAAGAGACGTGTCTAGCAGTGTGTGACTGTCATTGATAATGGGAAGATAGCAGGTAAAAAGGAGACATGACAACAACATATATATATATAGATAGATATAGATATGAGAAAATAAAGAATATTTCTCAGCAGAAAGGGTACTAGAAAATGCTTTACCTCAATTAGCGTAGTGGGACTCATATACTGGGAGATAGTAGGTGCTATAATCAGTGGGAAATTTTATAATTCAATTTACAAACTAAATAATTAATTTGGAACAATACCAGCATAGTTTCTGTTCCTGTATGGAGAGTTCCAACCCATGGCAAGCTAGTGCACTATCCGTTACAGTGCCAGCCTAATAAACTTCGTCCACCTAGTCTTATTTCTATACACCAGGAAGGTTAGCATGGGCTTCACTGTGACCACAAATTTAAGTTTTTACAGACGAATTTCACACCAGCATGGATGTGGTGCTCTACCATGGTACAGTGGACAATGTACTTACTGGCCTGCTAGTTATAAGACCGGCTTGTCATGGGCTCAACCCCTAATTAGCGAATTAAGAGGTGCCCATTGACACACGCACACATGTATACACATACTAATATTCCAACAAGGACACACACACACACACACACACACGGGGCGGGGCCATGAGTTATGACTCGAACCCTGCAACCACAAATAGGTGAGCACATACACACACACACACACACACATATATATATATATATATATATATATATATATATATATATATATATATATATATATTATATATATAATATATATATATATATATATATATATATATATAAAATATATATATATATATATATATATATATATATATATATATATATAATGTATGTATTATTGTACCCACGGAACAAGTGGTATTGATCAATAACAACACTGCGCTAGCCAAGGAGTCGAACCCATGCTGTTTTGGCCCGCCTCAAAGTGAAAGAAAACGCATGACGCTAATGGTCTAAAGATATATTATATATATATATATATATATATATATATATATATATATATATATATATATAATATATATATATATATTATATATATATATATATATATATATATGTACAGATGCACACACATGTACATGTACATGCACATACACATACAATGTTGTGCATTATTTAGTGTGTGTGTGTGTAACATGTGTACTCACCAAGTTGTAGCAGTGAGGGTCGATCCTCCATCCCTGGTCTAGTATCTTATTTACTCAACCAGCATTCCAGACTCAAGCCAAGGGATTTTTCCTGACAAATAAATCAATAATAATTAATAGTCCATCATACCTACTCCTGAAACCGTGTTACCACTCAAGATTGCAGGAGTACTTCTGCAATATTCCTTTATAGAATCTGTATTTGATCTCTCCAGATTCCTAATGTGAGCGTTTCGTCAAGATCTGTGTCGATACCTCAGTATGTTGTGGTTATGTCTCCTCTGGTTCTTCCGCCTTTTAAGGTCATCTTTCTCCACATCGGTTTCAGACCGAGTTTTGTTGCGAATCTCTAGTCTTTTGCTTGTGTGTGTGTGTGTGTGTGTGTGAGTGTGACTACTCCACCTATCAACGGCTACTGTTTACTCCAGGGAGAATGATAGTGTAACAACTATGATAATGTATGAAACGTTTATTTTTATTGCTGAAAATTTTATCGTTGGTTATGATCTTAATGTTAAGTTTATCACGTTTATATCAAGTCAAACAATTTAGAGGGTTCAACAGGAGTCGACTCACTCGCTGAACCTATCACTCTCACTCCTCAATTTGTAATACCCTCAGCTTGGTCTCCTTAACTGTGTAAATAGAGACTTTTTATAGATATTTGATGTTGGCTGTATCAGAATGTTTAAGAAATGTGCAATTAATCCAGATCAGGCCTCTGATTTTCATGTTGTCCATGTGTTTCCCACTGATTGGTTGATCTGAAAGTCTAGTCCCATCATTTATTGTTTTACATTTGTGACGTCACAACACTGACTCGGTGATTGGTCGGCAGTGTTATGCTACTGCAATATCGTCACTTACTTTTGGAAAATCTCAATCGAGCAATTAGCAAATTCGAACAGCATCAATTAGGATAATGAAAGCTGAACAATTCCCAGTCAATACTGAGTTGAGCTGCTTGGCAGAGTTCCATGATAATTCATGATTTACAGTCTTGCAAGGGTATGTTTTTTAGGGGGTCAAACTGTTAAAAAAAATATTTTTATGTTAGGTTACATTGGGTCGGGTTCCAATCCAAACCAAATATAAACAAACCGAACTTACCCAAACATACTCTAATCTAATTTACCTTACCTAACCTAAACTTAGCCTTTCTTAACAAACGTTCTACAGTTGCAAATGATATTATAAAACGTGAATTAATAGGAATTGTATCAGTAAACCTCAGTCCGGTCTACAATGTCCATGAATTATTATTGGAATGCCGAATCTTAATACTAGCCTCTGATTGGGCCGATGTACATTTAATTTCTCATGTAAAAGGATTATGTTACTAATATTTCCTAAAGTAATGATTTGCCGGAGAAATAAATATTGTCAGAGTTTGGATAACTTCCCGGTATGATAAGAACTAAGTAAATGTGGCTGACTACCGCCGAGCAACTGAACTTAATATTGACGTAATTCCCTTGCAAAACAAATGTTAATGGGAGCTCTAATTTGAGATTATACTGCACATAAATACGATGTGATTTACATTGTTCATAATAAGGTGCACGCCTTTACTATACACCAGCAATGTGTTCCTGCACTTGTCTAGGTGGCTCTAGCAGTGTGTTCCTGCACTCGTCTAAGTGACCCTAGTTGTGTTAGTGCACTGATCTAGGTGCCTCTAGCAGCGTGTTCTTGCACTCGCCTAGGTGGCTCTAAAAGTGTGTTTTTGCACTCGTCAAATGTGCCTAGATTCGTCTAGGTAACTGGCAGTGTTAGTACACTCATCTAGGTGGTTCTAGCAGTGTTCCTGCACTCGTCTAGGCGGCTCTAACAGCATGTTCTTGCACTCGCTTAGGTGGCTCTAACAGTGTTTTTGCACTCGTCTAGTGTGCCTAAGCTCGTCTAGGTGACTAGCAGTGTTAGTGCACTCATCGAGGTGGCTAGCAGTGTGATGGTGCACTTATATAGGTCATTGGCAGAGTCGCCGCCATGTTGATGTGTCTTTAAATCTAGTTGCAATCAGTGTCTCTTGAAAATGGTCTGTTGTGAGGGTATTTTTTCTTTGTATATTGGAGTTAGTGATTGTTCTGACACTTTCCCCACCTGATCAGTGTAGTTGTGCTCACCCTACCTGGTAGTGTATTTTGACTCATCTCACTTGGCAGTGTGCTTCCACTCACCTCAGAGTGTACATCCATTCACCTGGTAGTGTGCTTCCACTCACCTGGTAGTGTACTTCCACTCACCTGGTAGTGTACTTGTACTCACCTGGTAGTGTATTTTGACTCATCTCACTTGGCAGTGTGCTTCCACTCACCTGGTAGTGTGCTTCCACTCACCTGGTAGTGTACTTCCACTCACCTGGTAGTGTACTTGTACTCACCTGGTAGTGTATTTTGACTCATCTCACTTGGCAGTGTGCTTCCACTCACCTCAGTGTACATCCACTCACCTGGTAGTGTACATTCACTCACCTAGAAGTGTGCTTCCACTCACCTGGTAGTGTGCTTCCACTCACCTGGTAGTGTACTTGTACTCACCTAGTAGTGTATTCTGACTCATCTCACTTGGCAGTGTGCTTCCACTCACCTCAGAGTGTACATCCACTCACCTGGTAGTGTACATCCACTCACCTGGTAGTGTGCTTCCACTCACCTGGTAGTGTACATCCACTCACCTGGTAGTGTACATCCACTCACCTGGTAGTGTACATCCACTTACCCGGTAGTGTACATCCACTCACCTGGTAGTGTACTTCCACTCACCTGGCAGTGTACATCCAATCACCTGGTAGTGTACTTGTACTCACCTGGTAGTGTACTTGTACTCACCTGGTAGTGTACATCCACTCACCTGGTAGTGTACATCCACTCACCTGGTAGTGTACATCCACTCACCTGGTAGTGTACTTGTACTCACCTGGTAGTGTACATCCACTCACCTGGTAGTGTACATCCACTCACCTGGTAGTGTACATCCACTCACCTGGTAGTGTACATCCACTCACCTGGTAGTGTACATCCACTCACCTGGTAGTTTACATCCACTCACCTGGTAGTGTACATCCACTCACCTGGTAGTGTACATCCACTCACCTGGTAGTGTACACCCACTCACCTGGTAGTGTACATCCACTCACCTGGTAGTGTACTTGTACTCACCTGGTAGTGTACATCCACTCACCTGGTAGTGTACACCCACTCACCTGGTAGTGTACATCCACTCACCTGGTAGTGTACTTGTACTCACCTGGTAGTGTACATCCACTCATCTGGTAGTGTACTTGTACTCACCTGGTAGTGTACATCCACTCACCTGGTAGTGTACTTGTACTCACCTGGTAGTGTACTTGTACTCACCTGGTATGTGTACATCCACTCACCTGGTAGTGTACATCCACTCACCTGGTAGTGTACTTGTACTAACCTGGTAGTGTACTTCCACTCACCTGGTAGTGTACATCCACTCACCTGGTAGTGTACTTGTACTCACCTGGTAGTGTACATCCACTCACCTGGGTTAGTGTACTTGTACTCACCTGGTAGTGTACTTGTACTCACCTGGTAGTGTACATCCACTCACCTGGTAGTGTACATCCACTCACCTGGTAGTGTACATCCACTCACCTGGTAGTGTACTTGTACTCACCTGGTAGTGTACATCCACTCACCTGGTAGTTGTACATCCACTCACCTGGTAGTGTACATCCACTCACCTGGTAGTGTTACATCCATCCCTGGTAGTTTACATCCACTCACCTGGTAGTGTACATCCACTCACCTGGTAGTGTACATCCACTCACCTGGTAGTGTACACCCACTCACCTGGTAGTGTACATCCACTCACCTGGTAGTGTACTTGTACTCACCTGGTAGTGTACATCCACTCACCTGGTAGTGTACACCCACTCACCTGGTAGTGTACATCCACTCACCTGGTAGTGTACTTGTACTCACCTGGTAGTGTACATCCACTCACCTGGTAGTGTACTTGTACTCACCTGGTAGTGTACATCCACTCACCTGGTAGTGTACTTGTACTCACCTGGTAGTGTACTTGTACTCACCTGGTAGTGTACATCCACTCACCTGGTAGTGTACATCCACTCACCTGGTAGTGTACTTGTACTAACCTGGTAGTGTACTTCCACTCACCTGGTAGTGTACATCCACTCACCTGGTAGTGTACTTGTACTCACCTGGTAGTGTACATCCACTCACCTGGTAGTGTACTTGTACTCACCTGGTAGTGTACTTGTACTCACCTGGTAGTGTACTTGTACTCACCTGGTAGTGTACATCCACTCACCTGGTAGTGTACATCCACTCACCTGGTAGTGTACATCCACTCACCTGGTAGTGCACTTGTACTCACCTGGTAGTGTACATCCACTCACCTGGTAGTGTACATCCACTAACCTGGTAGTGTACTTGTACTCACCTGGTAGTGTACTTGTACTAACCTGGTAGTGTACATCCATTCACCTGGTAGTGTACATCCACTCACCTGGCAGTGTACATCCACTCA